TCGCTGTCACCTGCCACTTACCCCAGCTGCCCTCTGTGGGACACACACCTCCCTCCCCTGTCCCTTTCCCAGTGGGTCTCAACGTCAGGGCAACTCCATGTTCTCACAGCCAGTTCCCCAGGCTCCTGGCCTCACAGCCAGTTCTGCAGCCCCATTCCCCAGGCCACTCACCAAGGTGGAAACAAACAAACCTCCAGGGGCCCCTTCCTCCATGCTGCTGCTGAGGGTCAGCCTTCCCCTCCCTCTTCCACCCCCCAGTTTGTACTCTTCAAGCTATTGAAGCCAAATATGGCTCAACACGTGTCTGTGTTCAGTTTCATCATGTCAGAATTGGCCCATGGTCCCAGTTTGCTGGGGTCTGCTTCGTCCCAACTCCTTCATCCAACGCATTAACTGTTCCTCCCAGCTTCCTGTCCTCTATAAATCCAATCCACATGCTTGTCAGTGGCCTTGGCCAACCCATTGATAGAAAGTGACCAGGAAGGAGAGAGCTGAGGGCAGAGCCTAGAGGTACACCTCCAGAGACTCAGGGAATCTTCACTCAGAAGAGGGTACTGCCTACGATAGTCATTCCCAAAAGTTCCCACGTGCTCCCAAAAGTTCTGGTGCCAACTACCTCAATGTCACATAGACACACAGTGCCAGAGGCATTCCCCTAAACCTGGCAAGGAAACCAAAGCTGGTCCAAATGACTTGTTTACAGGAAACCCACAGTGGGTGCTCACAGTCATCCGAGCTCACAAGTTGTCCTTTTAACAATCTAGTCTAGACTTCAACTTGGCTTAACGTCACGCACATCACCAAACCCTGCACGCAGGCTAGTGCAGGCCCTGGGCTCTGAGGACCCATATCTGAGCCAGATTCAGCCCTTCCCTGGAGGGGCCCCCAGTCTGCTGGGGCAGGCGGTCACAGACAGTGAATGCTAATGCCTAGAATGTAGCGAAGACTTATTACGTACCAGACACTATTCTAAACCTAGATTAACCTTTGCGAGAAGCCATCATTGTCCCCATTTTACCCTCCATTGGAGACTGGGGCACTCGGAGGCTCAGGAACTTGCCCACGGCCTCCCAGTTAGTGCGGGGTGCAGGAGGGAGCACACTGGCTGCCCAGCGCAGTCTGGCGGGTGGGCTCCGTAGGGAGGAGGCGCTTCACCTGAGAGGTGAGTAGCAGCAGCAGGAGAGGAGCAGGCAGAAAAGCAGGGGAGGCAGGGGCGAGGGGACTGGGTTTTCTCAGCACCCGTTCCTGCCAGCCTGTGGTGTGCCAGCGCTGGGCCCTGGGGGTTCAGGGGTGAGCCTACAGACAGAGTTCCTTGAACAAACTGGGAAGCACAGGGTGCCCTGGGGAGGAGGGTGAGATGGCTGTCAGGGGAAGGCTTCCTGGAGGAAGTGATGTGTAAATGCACTTTGGAAAGGACAAGTAGAAATTTGAGAAGGTGAATGGGGAGTGGGAGACAGAGAGTTCCAGGCTGAAGTAACGGCCAGTACAAAGGTGGTTCAAGGGGCAGTGGGGAGACTGGGGTGGCTGGAGCGGCACCAGCGAGGAGGAGGTGAGTGACCTGAGGCCATGAGGAGTATGGACAGTTCCTGAGGGCTTCAAACGGGGAGGCACCCCCAGCAGTCTGCCCTGACCGAGTAGCCTGACTGCTCTCCGAGGGGAAGTGTGCAGGCAGCAGTGGGCACCTCCAGGGGTTAGATGGGGTCGCAATATCCACTTGGTGTGAGCACCAGGTGCACGTCACTAAACAGGCCTTTCCTCCCTCGGTGAGGAGCCTGGCAGCTGGTGCCTCCCGTCCCCCATCCCTACAAGCGGAGCAATTACCAGATTGAAATGGGCAGGGCCCTGGAGCCCAGCTTACTCTCCAATCACCACAATCTCTTGAACCCCAATCCATGGGCTCTAAGTGGTGACCAGATGGCTTAGGAGGGAGCCCAGACCTCTGGGCTTCCTGAGGCTCTTCCCGAGGGTCCTCGAGGATGTGGGGGACTCCCAGGGGCACATAGCCATGCTTATTATCTATTTTTTCCTCACCATAAATCACAGAGCCAGAAGGGACACTTGAAGTCATCCTCATGGAACCTCCCACTCAACCTGGAAGCTTTAATCTACCATCCCAACAGGTGACCATTCAGGCTCCACTTGGATACTTCCAAAGATGGGGAGCTCGCCACCACAAACCTGAGGGCTGTCGCCATGGGGCAGGTCATGAACTCTGAGAGTTGAACTGAACAGTCATTACACATACTGAGTCACATTAAAATCATGGTCAGCCAAAAACAGAAGACTTTTTTCTTCCACAGGAGCTCAACCAAGTCTGTACCACAGAGAGAGAAAGGGGGGAAACCCCACAGGGGCTTCTGAACCAGAAACCCCTGTTTCAGTTCTGACTCTACAACTTACCAGCTGGGTGGGCTGTCCAGTTACCTCTACGCACTGAACTTTATTTTCCTAATCTGTAACTCAAACTGCACCATGCAATAAGGTAGCCAGTAGTCATAAATGACTATTGAACCCTGGAAATGTGTCTAGTACAACTGAGGAACTGAACTTTTTAAAAAATTAATTTAAATTTAAAAGCCTGAAGCCGTTTTATAAACATTTTTATATTGATTTTACATTAAAATATTTGGGATATACTAGGTTAAGTATTATTAAAATTAATTTCACCAAAATAGAATTTCGTTTTTTGGGTTTTTTTGTTTTTTTAATTTGACTACTAGAAAATGTAAAGTGACAAGTGTGATTCACATTATAATCTCATAGGGCAGCACTGACTTAACATTAAGGATCAGTTAGGGGGATGTTCAGGTGTCTGGGGACAGTTAAGCTCCAGACAAATGATGGTTTCTGTGGCTGCTATGTGCTCAAGGGGTGTGTTTCCCATCACACAAGCAAGACATGCTCATTCTAGAAATAATAGAGAATGTGGGGAAAAGTCAAAAACAAAACAAAAATTACGCACAATTCCACCACCCCAAAACAGCTACTATTAAACTTTCTTTCTAGAGCTCATTCATTCACTCGCTCATTCATTCTCTCATTCATTAGTAAATTCAGCAAGCCTGCAGCAACCACCTATGCGTGTCCATGTGACCTAATACTCCCTGCAAACTACCCTAGGTTTAGGTTCTCAGAAAGGTCACTTTAACAGTTTGGCCCCAAAGTCTGGGACTTCAAGGAACCCCCACCGGCCAATGGCAGGACTTGGAACCTCCTTTTTCATTACTGAGTTCTGGTGTGTGACCTGGGGCAGGTCCTCCTCTCAGAGCCATGGCTGCCCTGGGGCCTGAAGTAGTTGGACCTTGCTGAGGGGGATTCTGTTGTGATCAGGGGACAGTTTGGCCCTGGGCTGATGTGCTGGCCCTGGTCTGGGGATAAACTCTTTCATGGATAATGATTACAGGGTGGCCCCCAATTCCCCTGGCCATACAACTTCATTGTAAGCCCTTTAGGATTTATGTCTGAGACCCACCCTAAGCCCATTGCTAACATATGGCACCTTGGCAAACAGGGATGAACAGAGATTGTAAACACTGACTCATTCATTCATTCACTCATTCATTCATTCACTCCTTGGTTCAGCAAACTGCTGTACTCTGGCAGGGTCCTGTGCCTGGCTTTGTGGACCCAGCATTGAATCAGATCTCGGTCTAGCCCTAGAGGCACTTCCAGGAAACAGTCGGCAACTTAGTAAGGTGGGCCTGAGACAGAGGGCAGCATGGGGGTTGTGGGAACCCAGACAAGGGATTTCACCCTGCCTAGTAGTCAGGGAAGGCTTCCTGGAGGAGGAGACTTTTGTCTTCACAAAAGAGTAAGCCTTTGCTACAGCGAGCAAGGTGCTCACTGGCAGCCGCTATAGCCTGGGGTTGTGGAGAGGCCAGCTGTGCTCAACCTGATGCTGGATGCTGCCTGCATGTAGCCTAATGATGAGGAGGGATTATCTGTTCTTGTTTACATGATTCAAACCAGACAAATACTTCCTTTATCTGAAAGAATGAAAGGGCTTGGGGAAAAATCATTTTGGCAGCAAAGCAAAGCACGAGCATTTCCTTAACTAATCTCTCACTTCCCCCAGCCATAGAAGAGTAGTTCCAGGCTGACCTGCACTGATGGGCAGAGTCTGGGTCATGGTGGGCAGGGATGGGGAGGGCCCAGGAGGAGAGAGACCCACAAGCCCCCTCAACACAGCCTCCCAAGAGAAGAGTCTGGGCCTGGGCACTAACCCAAGATGGCCACAGGGTGGCACCCCTCAGGGAAAATCTAATCATGGCCCCATTTTATAGATGGGGTCCCTGAGTCCCAAAAATGGGGGAGTGACTTGCTTGCCTGAGGTCATATAGCCAATGGGCAGAGCTAAGACTAGGGCCCAGGTCACCAACTCCCAGCCCAGGGCTCTAACTCGTTCATTCACTCACTCATTCCTTAGTTTATTCAGCAAGCCTGCAGCAACCACCTACTTGGTGGCAGCACCAAGAGGTCATGCTGGGCCCTGGGGGCCCACAGGGAAGTCAGATTTGTCCCTCTTCTCACATGTCCTTGGTGTGATAATAGAGACAGGTAAACAGACAGTGACAACCAGGTCATGACAGAGGAGGCCAGGGGCTGGGGAACTCCAATGGGCTTCTCACTCTGGGGGAGACCCAGGTAGTCCAAAAAGATTTTACCAAAGAGGTGACACTGAGCTTGGTCTTACTTAGTGGTTAGGATTTAGGCATGTGGAAGAGGCTGATCAGAGGACGCCAAACAAAGAAATAGCACATGGAAAGGCCTAGAGGTGGGAAAGGGCTTGGGTAGTGACCCTGGGCATGGAGGAGAAAGCAGAGCAGAAAGAAAGGCTAGTAGGAGCCATGAGGACTGGATTATTGAGGGTGGGGGGATTCCTATGCCTGCATGTTCCTTGGAGCACTATGAGGGTGCTGGGCAGAGCCAGGAGGGTGGCAAGAGTGGGTACGCCCAGGGCCTGCCCTGCGCACAGACCCTGATCCACATCGCCCTCCCAGCTTGATATCCGGCCTTGCCTCTCTGGACGCCAAGACCTCCAGCCGCCTGGGCATCCTCACTGTGGCATACTACCTGTGGACCACCTTCGTGGCAGTCATCGTGGGCATCATCATGGTCTCCATCATCCACCCGGGCGGGGCGGCCCAGAAGGAGGAGACGGAGCAGAGTGGGAAGCCCATCATGAGCTCAGCCGACGCCCTGCTGGACCTCATCCGGTAACCCTTGCCACCAACACCCTGCTTGGGAACACTATGCCCACCCAGGCTGGGGCTGCGGCTCCACAGGCCCAGCCCCATGTCTGCCAGAGAGCAGGATAGTTGTGGGGAGGGGATGCTCAGGGTCCGCTCTTGATTACTCATGGTAACAAGGGGCAGCCACAGAAACCACTCTTGCTCCTTCAGCCCCTGGGCTCCCTCTGGGCTCCCTCTGCACTGTCTGCCCCCATCAGGCCGAGAGCACCTCTAGGGCAGGACAGGGGCTGCTCCTCTGGGAGCCCAGCCCTGGCATATGGCTTGGTACAGAGCAGGCGTCAGTGTTTGCTGACTGGCTGGGCTCACTTGTGCACACCCAGACTTCCAGGTGGAAGGCCAGCAGTCATGAGTCTCTCCCTACCACCACCCTTCTTTTTTTTGGTCCCCTTTTTGGTCCCCTTTTTACAAATGAGGGAATGAGGCTCAAAGAGATGATGTGACTTTTCCAGCAGGTGGGTCATGGAGCCAGGATTCAACCCAGGCCTGTCTGACTCCAAGGGGGGTGCTTTTTCCCTGCATGGCCCCTGCCTGAGCCACATGGGCTCTGCTAACTGTTTGCTTCACACTCTCCTCGCAGAAAAGTGTTATAGACCCTGCAATATACACCTGTCTGACTCCCCTTCCTGACTCCCTACAGACCAGCCCCTCTCCTCTCTGGCGCCCTCACCAATGCTGGCCCTATGCTAGGACACTCAGAGCTGTCCTAGTTCTGGAGGAGAAAAACCCATGGATAGACACAGACAACATGGGAGGGAGGCTGTGATAGGAGCGAAGAGCAGGGTCAGAAGAGACAAAGTTGCTGCTGTGAAAAACAGGATGAGTGGGGGGGGCAATAGCTGTGCACAGGTCCTGAGCTGAGAGGGAGTGTTGTGGGGAGAAATCAGCCCATTCAGCATGACTGGCCTATGGGGAATGCAGGGTGGGGGGTATTGGACAATAGCTGGAGAAGTCTGATAGGTGGGGCTGGACCATGAAGAGAACTGTGAACCAGGCCAAAAATTGTGTTTTATCCTGAAATGGGTTTTTAACATAAGAATGGCATGACCCAATTCAGAAGGCTCACTCTGACTGATGGAGCGGGTGGGGGGCATGGTAGGAGAGAAAGACAGAGACAGGGACAGGAACAGGGATAGGGACAGGGTGGTGACCATGGGCACTGGGGAAGGGGGCTGACTGAAGGGCTGCTCAGGAGGTAAAATCAGCAGGAGATGGGCAAAATGGAGGGGAGAGTGGAAGAGGCAGGGGTGCTGATGGCATGAAGGTTTCGGGTCTGAGCACTGGAGAGGATGGCAGTGTGGTCACCAAACCAGAGGACGGTGCCAGAGCAGGACATCTGGGGAGATGTCAGCTGATGGTTGGCTAGTGCAGCTGAATCTCATAGGAGATTCTGACCTGGAGAAGGTGGCTGGGAAACCAGCAAGGTAGAGGCGCAGGTCTCCCCGGATGGTGGGGGAGTCTCGCAGCACAGGGTGGGTGAGGAGAGCAGAGCCGGGAGGAGCCCGGAGAAGCACCACATTGGAAGGAGTTTATTGGGCTCAGTAGGTTACCCCATCAGATTTTCTCTGTGGACTTCTTCTAGTCCCTTTCTTGCCAATCTCAGATATAAGAAATCCAGTCCAGCCTAATATTAAAACTCCAGACTCGTCCAATTTAAAATGAAGCCTTTTGCATCTGATTCAAACTTGGAAACCTGAACTGGGACAATTAGGTAGGTTTTTCCCTTTCTTGATCCACTTACACCCCTGTTGCGAGCACTGGGTTGGAGCAGTGGAGAGAGGAGGGAGGGTGGGCTAGAAGGTCCTCCTTCACTGGTGGAGGAATGAGCTGGGATAGGCACTCCCAAGTTGTATTTCTTCAGGGGTGCTTTCGTGGGTTCTTTGGAGCCCCTCCTATCACTGGTGTCTCTTATTATTCCCTTGACTTGGTGATCCCTGCTTCATCTTGCTGCTTATACGCCTTCCTCAGGCTTGATGTCTGCTGAGGTCACCTCGCCCCCCTGGGTGATCCTCTTAGGCACGGTCCCTTCTGCAGGGTCCACATCGGGCCCATGGGAAACATACATATCTTTGCTGGAAGTGCAGGCCTTTCCCAGGGCCTTTGACCATGAGTCAGGCACCAGCCCAGCAGTCCTCTAATCCCAAGGGACACTCCTCTCCTCCCCTGTGAAGACAGATGCCCAGCATACAATTCTCTCTCTCTCTCTCTCTCTCTCTCTCTTCCTTTCTTCTTCCTTCCTTCCCTCCCTCCCTCTCTCTCTCTCTCCCTCCTCACCCTCTCTATCAGTTATTAATTGCTGTGTAACAAACCAACCCAAGACTTAGTGGCTTAAAAAAAGTTTGGAGTCTATACTTCAGCTGGAAGGTTCTGTGTCTGCAGGCAGCGAGTCACTCAACTGGACAGCAGCTGATCGAGGGCAATCTTGGCGAAGATAACTCACCCATGCTCGTTGTATTCTCTCCAGCAGGCCAGCCTGGATTGATTTCATGGTGGTGATAGGATTCCAAGAGAGAGCTAGCCCAGGCATATTCTTATGATAAAGATAGAGGGACAAGAGAGGAAATAGAAACATGCAAATGTTTTGCTAAGTCTCTGCTTCTGTCAAGTTGGTTAACATCTTATTGCCCAAAGCAAGTCATGTGGCCAAGCCCAGACTGGGGCTGGGAGGGGATCACAATGTTACAAAGCAAAGGGCATCCATTAATGGGGGACATTGATCTACCACTCCCTCCATTTTCTTCATTCTCTGGGTTCTCTTGTATCCTTTGAGGTGTGTGATGAATGAAGGATCACAAAAGTACTTGCAATTTTGTTCCTATGGCGTGGTTCTCAACCATAGGGGGTCCAGAGCCAGAAAGAGACCCAGGCAGGAAGTGTTGTATCCACACTTATTTACCTAGAGATTTCACCCAGTACCATGAGGAGGAATACTTTCTGCTCACTGACACTGACAAACCTGGAAACCTGACCCCTGCACTTCAGATTCTTACATGCAGTTGTCTAAAGGCATCTCAATATTACCAAGACCAAAACTCAACTATTGATTTTCCCTATAAATCTGCCCTTTGCTCAGTCCTGCCCATCTTGGTCTAATGTCTCATTCTCTCATATCCTGCCTCCAGTTTGTCAGAAAATTCTGTCAGCTCTACCTTCAATATAATATCCCAAACCTTGTCCCTTCTGTCCCCCTCTCCCACTTCCTCCATTGCCCAGACCACCATCACCTCTCACTCCAATGTCCAACAAGGTCACCCTGCTTTCTCTCTGCTTTCCCACAGTCTTTTCTCAGCACAGCAGCCAGAAGGATCCTTTCAAAAATCTGTGTTCTCTATGACTTACAGACCCTTCATGATCCCCCCACCACACACAGGTCAGCCTCTGACCTCTGGTCCAGCTCTCCCTCCTCGCCCACCCACTTTGGTCTCTGTGCCATTCTTCCAGACGTCGGTAGGGTCCCATTGGAGTGCCCCTGCCCAAATGGCCCTTCCTGCAGAATGAGGTGGCTCTCTCACTCCACTTTCCCCTCTGCTCTGTCACCTCTTCAGAGGGGCCTCCCAGCCTCTGTCACTCTCTCCTCATAGCCTTTATTACTACCTGACATTATCACGCCTATGTACTTCTTTATATCTCTCTCTGTCTGCCCCACTGGAATAAAATACTCTCCAGGAGGGCTAGATCTTTAGACAACCTGTTTCCTGCCGTATCCTGGAGTCTAGAACAGCAGCTGGCACAGAGGAGGAGCGAAGTGTTTGCTGAGTGCATACGTGGGTGTGGGGTCATCGCTGGAGTCAGGGTTTGAATCCACTGGAGAAGAGGGACTGGGCCAGGGGGGATGTGCTGAGCATGCAGCACTGAGGCCTGCATGAGCTGTGGTCCCCCAGCCACACCCAAGGGCTGCAGAACTAACAGCTGGAGCGAGCTGAGGGCCGGGAGGAGAACCAAAAGAGCAGATGTCATGGAAGCCCAAGGAAGAGGAATTTCGAGAAGTTTCATTTCTGAGATCCGTTATTTCTAAGATTTGGTGACTATGATTCATCATTTTTTGGATTCTATGATTCGAAACAGCCTTCCCTCGTGGAAGAAGTTGTTGATGCTTGGGGAGCCCCTGCCCACCCACCACTGCCTCCTCTCCCTTGTTCCGGGCCTGCGGGTTCTGGAACGCACACGTGTCAGAGTCAAATGTTCCAGGAGCAGTGAAATTGATCCTCTGGTTTGAGGCTCCCCCCACCCACCCCAGTCGCTTGCAACCCCGAGGCAAGTTGTTTTGCAAAGCTGGGAGGTTGTAACTATTTCTTAGTCAGAGGGGGAGATGCATGCTTCCAGGGACACAGAGCCAGAACCTTGGAGATGTGATATCTCCTCTCAGCTCTGCCAATAAATCACTATGTGGCTCTGGGCAGGCCAGCCCTACTCTCTGGGCCTCAGTTTCCCCAGTGGTTTTCAAGATCTCTTCTAGTTCTGTGGTTCTGAAACACAAAGGCCTCAAATCTCATGAGGAGGCTGCAGGGCATGAGCAGAAGCCTCTGGAGGTGGGTTCTGGGAGTTGAGGTTAGGAGGACAGTACAGAGCCCAACCTTGAAGACCCCGATTCCAGGCTGAGGGGTTGGTTGTTATGCTTTAGCAAGAAGAAGCTGGTGAGTGGGAAGGATGCATTGAAGCAGGGTGGAGTAGACAGGATGCTACTGGAGGCACGGGCATGCCTGGGAAGGGATGTAGTCCATTCTGTTCCATTCAGCCCACCTTTATTAAGTGCCTGCTCTGGGGGAAGACATCATGCTGAGAGCTGGGGGGTGGGGGAGGGGTGGGCACAAATACTTGTCCCTGCATCGGACTGTCACCATCTCAGGACACATGAGAAAAGCGCACTAGACAGCCACTCTCTGAGACCCTTTCTAGCTCCCACATCCTGAGAGGCTGTGCTACAGTGAGGACGCCAGCAGCGAGGGCACCAGCAGCGAGGGCACCAG